AGAGCTATAAAATCACTTTGGGCTTAACTGAACTGTAAGCCATAGTTTACCATAGACTAGCCATAGCCATAGTAAGCCAAGAAAGGATAACAAACAAAGGCTTTGAAAATAAAGCTTCTGTCAGGGGCAGTGGTCGCCGTAGTAAGCCGAATTACAGAAATAATAAAAAAATTACTTTAATACATGATAATGGCAAGCATCTCTATCATGGAATAAGTTTTGTAAATTAGGTGGCAGACAGTTTCCAAATGCCCTGCACAATATTTTATAAGTTTTAAAGCTTATGAAGTCTTGCAGTTTAAGTTCTTTTAATTCTTTTAATTCTCTGAACAGTGCACCAGGCTCCGTCTGTATCCAGTCTTTGTCATCTAAAGTTTCAAAATAGCAGATCTGTGTTTTTGGTGTCACATCAGGGTCCTGCAGTCTCCATGGTGACAGTGTAATGGTCCTTTACTATGGAGTCATTTAAAACCAGAAGTGAGCCGCATGATAGTGTTTTGTGCAAAATTAGCCTCATGAATACATAAAATCTAAAGCCCACCGGAGACGCTGACATTTCCGTCTGTGACATTCAGCGCGAGACGGATCCTATTGATAAACTGCAGCCATTTGATCAGTTTTTAAAGTGATTCATTAAACGATGTCAAAAAAGGAATTAAATATAGTCATTGAAGTAGTCAAGGCTCGTGTAGATGAGACCAATCCAAGAATAAAACCGCTGGAAATGAGCAAGTTAGTGAGCCGTGTTTAGAGTCATTACTAAGAAATTACTCTACCAAGAGCGTTTGTACATTTGTGACCGTGAAACTGACATACATTTTGCAAAAGAAGAAGCAAATTTATTGGTAGAGCACATAAAAAACACGACATGGCAGTTAACAAGTGGATACATCAGTATTATGTTTACTTCTAAACTAAGGACTATAATTTCTTTTCTTGTTTTGTTGAATCCTTTTAGCTGCCGTGTGTATGAACTGTGCCATACAAATAAAATTGCCTTGCCTTACATGAGCTCAGCCACAGAGCACATGGGATATCAGTAAGAAGAGCGTTCCATTTACAAGGAGCATTCTGGGCAGCTTCTTCTACTTTCAGATCTACACAAGGCTAAATACGTTACACTGTACACTCTACGGGTCAATCTAACTTCAAGCGACAAAAAAAAAAAATTTATGAACAAAAAATGTTTGTAACTAAACATTTTTACATTTCATACTATGTAGCTTATACTATAGTACAATCTCAGATAGGCAGCTAAAACCAATGTAAGAAAAATGGATCCCTTTCAAAAAAAATTTATTGAATTTTGGGGTCATGTTGGAGGTTTTGTGAATGGAAGAATTAACAGGACAGGGAAGACTATTTAATGGCTAATGGTTTGGGATAATCCATCTGTAATTATGATTTTACACTATGCAAAAAACCTACTCAATGTACTCAATTATTCAAATACCGACAAACTGGGTTGTGCGGACATAACAAGCGTGTCCACTTTTGTTACGTCCAAAAAGGCCGTCTTGGAGCGCTGTTAATAGTACAGGCGTGAACAAATCGGTGTTGAAGTAGTGCGCCCTTCACTGGACAAACAAGCTGGAAATAAACTAGAGTGGGTGCTGTGAACATTCAGCAGTAGCGGCCGCGGACATTTCGGGACTTTTTTGTGTCATTGACCCAAACGTAACACATTGGTACAGTTTAGTGTGGAGTGAGCCATATATGAGGGCGCCGGTATGTAGCTTTATAACTTCATCAAGTCAATCCGTGTCTGAATTAGGAGACAATAGATTGCATTCAAGAGACATCACAACATCCCATAGACCCTATAGTTAAAGATATGGTGGAGAAAATCTATCCTGGTAACTGTGGTAAGTGTCAAAGTTTAAAGCTCATTTCTCTGTAATTCCTGGGTTTCACATCTTCTTTGTCAGAACATACCAACTATGGACTAATTATTTTCTCATAAAGATGTCTAGAAGTGATGACAGTATTCAAAACCATATGTGTAATGCTGGCCAATAGAAAGGGCTTTTAGACATAGGAATGATATCATGTGTTTGCGAATGTAATCACTGTCAAGTCATAATCTGGAAGAACATTTTAACATAAACAAAAACAAATAAAAGCTTTCAATTTGGGTGAAATGCGAGATGTTTTGCGCATCTTTCTCCATCCACTATGGAACATGGTTTGTATGAAGCCGTGCAACTCCAATCCAGCCAAACACAGAAGTCTTCTTCAGTTTTAAAGGAATAGTTCACCGTTTTTACATACTGACATATGTTCTTACCTTACCTTAGACTAGTTAATACGTACCTGTGTGATCTTAGTCCGTGCGCTCTGTTATGCAAACGGAGCAAAAACGGGAGGACAAATGCAGCCTCCTCTGGTCACTGTGTAGCACCAAAAGGTAGCTCCCGCTAGAAGCTACCAAACTCTTCCAAGTGTTCCCTATTAAATGTATATAGTTACGTGACGTGTTACACTGCAAAGTATAGTAACACAGAAATGTAACTGTCGATTTTCTCAGCGGATAAAACGGGTACTTTATTGTGAGGCGTAGTAATCTGAGGTGCGCTACGTCCGCGCACTAACTTCTCTCCGGAGACTTCTCTCTCGCTCACTTCCGTCAATAGAAGCAGCGTGACTTGTAGTACGGAGAGAAGTTAGTGCGCGGACGTAGCGCACCTCAGATTACTACGCCTCACAATATAGTACCCGTTTTATCCGCTGAGAAAATCGACAGTTACATTTCTGTGTTACTATACTTTGCAGTGTAACACGTCACGTAACTATATACATTTAATAGGGAACACTTGGAAGAGTTTGGTAGCTTCTAGCGGGAGCTACCTTTTGGTGCTACACAGTGACCAGAGGAGGCTGCATTTGTCCTCCCGTTTTTGCTCCGTTTGCATAACAGAGCGCACGGACTAAGATCACACAGGTACGTATTAACTAGTCTAAGGTAAGGTAAGAACATATGTCAGTATGTAAAAACGGTGAACTATTCCTTTAATGCGACCTTTGCGTTTGAGATTTCCCCCTATGGTCTGTCCTCCTTCCACATGAGCTGAATTGTCATGTTCCACTTCCAAGAGCAACACTGCCCATTGTGTTTATTGTTTATTAATATTCATGCACCAAATTTGATCAGTCCAAATAATCAGAAGTAATTAAATAACTTTGAGAGGCGGCGTTGGGCCTTTCACAGTGAATACCAATGGCATATTTTCTTGCTTTTCCGAGGTGATAAAGGAACACCGGGTTATTCAGGCTATTAAATTAAATTGATTTTAGTCTTGGATGTACCTATTCATTTGGTTAACTGAGACAAATTCTTCCATCACAATTTCTAAAACTCTGTTCCCTCCATGTGATTACTTACCTGACCAAACATGTCTGCTGTTACCATGGAGACCAGACAATTTTACCATTGCCAAACCCGTTTTAGGTGCGGCTTTGACAAAGTTCTATTTCTAAAATCTAATTCAAAATCACGCAGTAGCTAACTAATGACTAGTTTGCCAAAGAAATGTTCTTTCTGTCAAGATGAAAAAGAGCCTCAGATGTTGTGTTTCTACCAATTATACTTATTACGTCTTGTTTTCTGAATGTAGGCTTATCATTTGAGCACAATGTCGGACATCTTTCATCATTGAATACATCTTTAAAGGTGCATTCCTAAACTGTCCTGAGCTCTTTGCTCTTTGTTTTGCCTGGATATTATACAGACAGTCTTCACACTGCAAAAAAAAAAAAAAAACATCATATCATGTTTTTCAAGAGTTAAAGTCGTCCGTGATTGAGGAATGTGCATGTGTTAAACCAAACAGAGCAACATTTCAAGCAAAGCAATGTATTGCAAGAAGAACAGCAGGAGAGTTGAGGAATCTTGACTTGATTTACTACATCCATGGAGTATTCAAAATCATTTAAGTACGTACGTAAGTAATCTTTATTTATATACCGCCTTTCACAGATCAAAGTCACAAAGCGGTTTATAATGGTTATTTTTTGGGCAATTGTCTTCTCACTCCACACAGAGATAGGAGCGGGGTCGCCAGTACAGGAGGCGCATGCCAGACCTTTTTGTACATGTTTTTAGTGGTAGGGGAAACCGGAACACCTGGAGCACCCGGAGGAAACCTACGCAGATACACGAAGTACATGCAAACTTCACTCAGAAAGGCCCTGTTCCGACCGGGATTCGAACCCAGGATCTTCTCGCTGAGAAGCAAGAGTGCTATCCACTCAGCCACCGTGACGCCCGTGCTGTTTTTATCCATGTTATTTATTAAGAAGAAATAACATGGATAAGAAAGAATAGGACAAAACCGCTGATATGTAGTGTTTTAAAACCCCACTGCTCTGTGTTGATAAATCCACTTCAACCACGGTCATGACATTCACACACTCATGACGTATTAGAAAATATGTATTTTGTCCTCTACGCTCTTAAAAACATGTTTAAGGAAAGGGACTACTAAATGTCAGCAATAGCTCATTAGCAACCGTTGCCAATAAACTCTCTTCAGACATAATCGACAGAGCAAAGTCATACACTTTACAAAACAATTACTATTGAGCATGCTCATTGTGCTATATTAAATATCAAACATGAGGCAATGAAATGTGAGGTATTTAAGGTATTCCCAAAAGTAATGCAGAAAATGGCTCTATCCTTGAAGTCATATGAGGCATGTGTTTGCAACAATTTGTGTCAGAATAAGAACTCCATGAATGATTTTAATAACGGAACAATATTATAATTATAAACATGTTTATTTTTAAACAGAGTTTTTCTGAATATGTCCTTTAAATAAAAATGTGAGGAAAGAAGTTGCTATTGTAAAGGCTCAGTCTATGCAAATCACTAATGCTGTGTGGATAAAGTGTGCTGATAGATATTATATAACATGTAATATTCAACGCCAAATGGCAAATTAGTCACGATACTAATTGTTTGGTCACGTTGAATCAAAATAGCTTCACTTTTCACTTACTGCTCAGAGACAGTGTAGAGCGAAGGCTCAAGGAAACACGGCACATCTCCCACAGTGACGGCGACCTCCTCTGATCTTCTGCCCAGGTTTCTGCCCTGGACCGTCAGCAGAGTGCCCCCCTCCACTGGGCCCCCTCACGGGAAGGATCTGATGAGATGACGAGAGAGAAAGTGCTACAGTCATTCAGGAGCACAAAAATAAAAAATTCATGTTGTATTCCTGTCACAAAAGAGCAAAAAAAGAATTGAACAGAAAATACAACTGGGAAAATTACATAATTCTTCCTAGATATTATGTATACTACAGGGTCATGCGGTCAAAAATATGATTTGTTCTCAAAATGATATACTATTGAAGTTGCAAACATCACCTTTAAGTATTACCAATAATTTAATATATAAGCTTTGTTTTTGAATTCTTTCTGGGAAATAAATGGTAAAGTGTTTTTATTGCAGAATAATTGAGACATACATTGGTCTGTGAGATCTGAATGATGACTTTGGAAAGAGGAGCATATCAAATAACCAATATTCTCTTGACTAATGATTTTGAGTCAGTGAGTCACAAATAAGTACATTACAGGCATTAACTTGATGCCAGACAAAAGATGAATATGGCAAAACTATCTGGATGGCACTGTCCTGTCAAAAAATCCTATAATTCTTCTTCTATGAGAGACATCATGTTTGACTAAAGTCTTTTTGCAGCAGAAAACAAGTCTTGAGCAAATATCCAGGATACGTATTGTAAACCAAAGCAGTGGGACGTATGTAAAAGTCACGACTCACAGAGCTTCACTTTTTACTTTCCCTGCACGGCGCGACTGTGAATGCACTTGTTGAATATTGAGGGGAAGAAAGCACATTGGCTTTATGGATTTGTGAAAAATAACAGAGTTTATATGAGCAGAGGATAGGAAGCAGCTGAGGCGTGTCCATTTCCCTCTGTGCGTCTACCACAATAGGTAAGCTACATTCACTGCAGTGTAACGGAGCCTAAATATGCCATTTTAAATACAGACAAGTATAATTGTCTGATTACAATTTCTAAATCTTCTACTAATTACCAGATGCGTCTCTTGGGATGCGTGAAATGGGCAACCAGAAAACATCCATAGAGTAATAGATTTTGCATAAATGAGGTATAATAAGGTCATTTCAACAACATTGTGGTAAGAAAACAAATAAAACCTGCATTGAGGAGGCCACTTAGAGAATGCCTTTGATCCCATATCCAAGCTCTCTCCTTAATCAGACAAAGAAATCTCATGCTGACTTATTGACCACAAACAATGCTTTCCTCTCTTCCTGCTGGATCTTGTTTGAGCGCTGGAGATAAACAGGCTACATGTGTTCAAGTTCAATAATGACATTTAAAACTGCCCACAACAAACAGGGGGGGTTGGGCCGGAGGAGATGCTGTCTGTTCACATGGGGAGAGAGATAAGGACAAGTGGCCAGAGCGTGTTCCCTGTCTTTAATTGAATAGACACGCGCAATGTAGGTACACACACACACACACGTGCACGCTTCAGGTACACACGCACACAATGTAGACACTTATAACTGTGCCAGCCTGAGACCCTTCAGCCCCTAATCCTCGACAGCAGCACATGCAAATAAAGAGCAGCGTGAGAGCCTCCTTCACATCCCACAAGAGACAGACAGACAGGAGAGAGCGGCTGGAGAGGCTGTGGAAAAGGTGGGTGAGTGCGCCAGGCAATTTAGGCAACTGTGTGTCGAGAGGGGTGAGAGAGAAGGGGAGGGGGGTAAAGCCTCAACAGGGGAATTAATGCACCGCGCGCTTCCCTTTCATCTGTTTTCCTGCATCTGCTCCGTCAAATTCCTCCGTCCAATTTCGGCTGTTGTTCTGGGAGCACACTCGCACGCATCATTTCAATGCGCGGCTTTGGTCTCTCTAATCAGAGGCTAAAGAGAGGGAGACGAAACTAAGATAGGATCAAAACCAAAACCAAGGACAGTCACAAGACCGGCCTTTATTTTAGAGAGATATCATGGGACCATAATCTGAGATGCATGTTTTTCTTCAATTAGCCTTAGTGTGAAATAGGCAACACTTCATAAAACTGGGCGCAAGTAGAAAACTAATTAGTTTTTATGTGTGGATGCCAATCAACAGGACACAATAAAGCAGAAGAAGATAGCATCTATTTACCTATAAAAAAATTTCCCTGAGAATTATAGGATTCTGCATTCTGGGCTCACAAAACCTTACAAAATATTCATAGAGTGCACAGAAGGTATCGAGGAATAATAACCATATTTCAACAAAAGCGTCAGATAGAACCTTCTAATAAAGGGGACAGAATGTGCAGGTCCAATTTGCTCACATTTGAGAATCTGCTTATTAATCATAACTGATGTATTACGGGAGACATATTATACAAAATTGGATTTAACTATATTACATAAGATAACATAAGAGATCCTTTATTCGTCCCACAATGTTGCAGCACACATGCAGGAGAGTAGTAAGAGCACACAGAATATAAAACATAAGGATCTGATACAATACCTTAGCTGTAAATGATTCAATATCAATCTTTCAAAATATAAGTTATACACTGTACATATAGGGCAGGGGGATAAGTAGATAAAGTGACTTTCAGTTTACATTCTGAATCTGCAGTATTGCATATTGCACATGATTACAGTATTTACTTATTTACAGATGAATGACATTTACAGGCTCATATCATTGTCCCTCCTCAACGACAGACCTGGATTTTTGTTTTTAGATCCTTCCACGCTAATATCAGGATTTTCAGGCACAAACATGTAACACTGCCCCTTCTGGCCAAAAGTCTTAAGTCTTGTGATAGTTTGATTGTTGTACAACTATGACATTATAAATTGAACAGCCAAAGATAATGCATGTTTTTATTCTCACAATTCTCATAAGTTTGCATTACTATCCTGACAGCCCTGACCTCAAAATCAACAACATTCTAAGTGAGTCTTGCTCAAGGACACAATAGAAACCATGTGCTTCGAGCGTGTTTTGACCATCCCACTCACCGGGTGTTCAGACTCTTATCTACTGTCCAATTACAAAATTTTTTCCCCTTAATCTATTTTCCTGAAACCGCCTCGCCAAATTCCTCTGCCCAATTTTGCTGTTGTTCCGGGAGCGCTCTCTCACACGCATCATTTCAACAGTCGCCTTTGGTCTTTGGAATCAGTGGCCGAGAGGGGAGGACAGCGTCACTTCTCCATAACTAGAGATACACACAGCCTTAGAGATAGCATCAGAGACGGCCAGACAGAAGCAATCTTGTGTCGTCTTGCCACTGTAGCCCGGGCCAGCTGCACTCCTCCAAATGACCTCAAGCTGAGCCCCCAGTCCTGCTGACCCCTCTCCTTTATTACTCCGGCTCCAGCACTATCACAAACTCGGGGAAAGAATGAAAACAGTGCCTCTGTTTGGTCTAGGTGAGAGGACAAGGCCACAAAATGCAAAAGGAAGAGTGACAGTCTGGATAAATAAACTATGGGAGTAGTTAAGCAAGATGGGGAAATAAACAGTTTCTCCTTGTAAGAATGTGTTGATGTAAAATATTCAGGTAGAAGATGTACTATGCCCCTCTCCTGGTGTCACGGTGACCACATTTTTTTCATGCAGAGAGAAGATTTTCCTTGAGGCTATAAAAAGTCTGACATGGAGTGAGTTTGCTGGTGATGTGGGATGAAATCATCAACCTTTTTACATAGTGAGACGGTGACACATCAATTTCTGTTGGAATAGTGTATACATAGTTCCCACAGACCAATGAATGTCACATGACCTCCTCGGAGACGCCATCTTTGATGGCACGCTGCTGTGTTTGTGCATTCCATTAAACAGAAGAATGAGAATAAATGTAGATATTCAAACGCAAATTGGAAAAAAAAGGGCAACTTTTGAGCAAATAATTGTATATTAATACAATGGCACCACAGTTTAACGTGCTACGGACATGTTTTACATATTTGATCAAATTATGCAGCAAAAATTAACAAGCAATGCAAACATTTCTCAAAAACTTTAGATTTAATACCAGTTGGAGCTCCATTTAATTATTTTAATTATATTAACAATTAATTTAATTAATGCTAATGCCACACGGACACTCTGGATTGCTGTTATTGTTTATTTCCGCGTTTTTGACCGTATGTTTTGGTGAATGGTGGGCAACTGATTTTTCCAGGCGTAAAGAGCAGTTTATTTTATGACACAGATCTTTTTACAGAAGCAATGCTGTTTGTGAACATTGTTTTAGCCCACCATAGAACTATTATTATCTATTTAATACATTTACGTTGCCCTCGAGAGCCTCGGACGCGACACCGATCCTCCTCATAATAAAGTAATCTAACGCTAAATAATGAAACTCTCAAGTTACCAGATATCAGCATACACAAGTTAGTACTGAGTAAATTACGTCTGTCAACACATTATAAGATACGATACGCACCTGACACAAAGTGCTCCGAGCATATTCTTGCGTGTTTTGAGGGAGTTTCTTGCCTGTTTATCTTCGCAAGCCATAACCTCCGTGGTTGTTCTGACAAAAGCTTAGTCTTCTCACATTCATGAAGTCTAATGATGGGTATACTGTAAAATCCAAGTTTAACGGAACCTCCGGCACGATTTGAACATCCATTGACCCAGCAGGAGATGACCATTTTCAACTTTATCACGACATTAACACGTTTCAGCTTCTTTTTCTATTGTTTTGCCCACAGCATGCCAACACAAATGGCGCCGGGTCGGCAAATCCCCGTATGTAGTGACGTCATGTGGGAACTATGTATAGGGAAGGCTCTCCATTGAGTTTGAGCCAGTGATATTTTCAAGGAACTTTTGAATAAGTGAATGAGTCTTTTGTTTTAGCATTTTGATCATGTGCTTTGAATGCGCACTCACACTTATTGGTAAACATAACTCGGTCACTTTTGAAGACAAGGCAAATTTATGAGTATAGCGCAGATCATACACTCAGCTCATTGGATTTATGACAATAAAGTGAAGGTCCGGATACTTTACTAATTTTAAAGATGGAGAGATCTCTTTTAAATGCACGCACCACTTAGACCTGCCTCCAGAGCTTCCTGATTGGACGCAATTAACCTTGACTTTTCAAATCC